CTGGACGTGGAACCTGCCGCCCAGCTGGTCGGCGCTGACGCCGTCCCTCCCAGGTGACAGCCGGCGGCGGTGACGAGGTGGCCGCACAGGGAATGTATCGCAGTGTCCACCACCGGCTGCACGTCTGCTGAACCAGCGACAACAGCAGCCGAGCCGCACGCTCCTCCTGACCTGGGTGGTGGCGAGGTATCGGTCACGTGACACTGGTACATGCCGGCCACGGAGCGGTTGCCGCCGGTCAGCTGCAGAGCCGGCCGGCTGGCGGCGGCGGGCAGACGGCGGCCGTCCTTGAACCAGACGATGTCGCTGGCTGCCAGGGCGGCGTCACGTGACAGGTCAGCTGAGCGGGCTGTCTGGGTGGTCACCAGCTGACCGGGCTCGATGACAGCGCGGCGTGTCACTGTCACCTCCGTCGCGTGTCCGCGCCGCGCTGCCCACCTCCGAGCTCGGCGATCTCGGCATACGCCCGCGTCCCCTGACCTGACCCGGCGCACCACCAGCTGCTGGCCACTGACCTCGACATGACCAGAGTGGAGCAGCGGCGACAGCTCAGCGCCGCGCACCTGTTGTTGTTGTTGTTGTTGTTGTTGTTGTTGTGGTTCCATCCAGCCGCGTTACCGTGGTGTAGTCGTGCGGCTCTGGAGGTCCCTCACGGCGGCCGCCAGGGCCGCCACCTCTCCGTCTGGTAGCGAAGCTCTTCGCCAAGGCGCACGCGCTCCCCGAGGGCAAGCCCTCAGGACTATCGCGGAAGATGGGCCGCCCAGCCGACTGAAGTCGATGACGGGCTGGCGTGGGGTGGGGCACGAAACCTGGCGAGCGGCTGGGATCGCCCTGCCGCTCGACCCCGCTGGTTGCATGCCAGTGCGCCGCCGTGGGAGGTGGCCGCCTTCCCAGACTTCACCTTCAGGCTGGACATCGGGACACTGCAGCGCGACGCCTCGGCTGATAAACTACACCTGGCGGCACAGCGACACTTGGCCACCCTCCCCAGCAAGCCATCAGGGTATGAACTGACGCATCGGCTGAAGCGGGAGTCCGCAGCGGAGAAGCCTTCGTGGAGTGTACACGGGTGTGGGAAATGAATGCTAAGTGTATCCAAATTGAAGGCACTGCTCTCGAATGATATAAATACTAGAGATGTCAATCGCATGCCAATTTTTGGTATACCGATACCAAACCGATACCAACTTGGTATTTGGTATTTCAATCCTAATGTACTTGGTATTTTGTTGGCATTATGAACCCTCACTTATGTATAAGAGGCTGAGAAATTGGTTAAAAGTCGGTATTTCCCTCATGTTATGAAGTTGGTTCGGTATCGGTATTTCTTCACGGTTTATGTTGGTATTTGGTTTGGAATTGGTATTCATATTTTCTATAATTGACATCACTAATAAATACTGAACAGCTTTGGATTGTTTGTATTCCAAATGTTTACTTTCAGGACGAGTAGGTACTCCTTGTCATTCGGTCGTCAACTCCTCTCTCCGACTCCGGCTTAGCGCAGGCACGTATAACCTAGAATTTGGCCGAGGGGGGGGGGGGGAGCGGAGGAATCCCGTAGAGAGAGCCTCCTACCTACAGAGGGCCCTCTACCCGAGGAGTCAGAGGGGCCCTAGTGGTCAGACACAGACACTAGCGGTTATTCACAGGAGGCCCCATGTAGTAAATTGAAGGACCCTAGGTGGCAGGCGAGTCGGAGAGCCTTGATTGCCCTGACGTAATTTGTTGGGATTCCCATGAATTTCGTTCGTCTCCGACGTGATTTTGGCCAACGTGGGCCTTCTGCCAGCATGGGCCCTGAAAACCCCTACAGGGAGGCGCACCCCGTCCGTCCCCCCTTCTGTACGTCCCCGGTCGGCCCAGCGGCTCAACACGCGCCTACCGACACACAAGAAACTCTTGCCATTATGTTTGCTTCTGACGCAATCATGACAGAATTACGTTCTATTGATATGCATGCTGCCATTGCTTTGGAGTCGGTCTTTTGAATTTCTGCGTATTTTTTTTTTTTTTGATCGGCTCCACTCTCCAGACAGCTGGCTCAGCCTGATCGACCAGAGCAATGCGACACCTATACCAACTTGATACCAACCTACTTGGAGGGGTGGTCAATTCATGAAGTGCGAATGCGAAACATGGCAATAGATGGCGGCAGGCGGAACGAACAGCATGGGGAAGGCTGGGACACGCATTGAGAAATGAAATCCGTCACTTCCCAGATTTCGAACGCATCCATAGAGTGCATTACTTTTATGTGCTTGCGTTCGGTCTTGGGATTTCTCAGTAGATTTCGCCAACAGTAGAGAGATTGATCTAGAATGTCTCGTTATCGGAAAAGTATGGTAGCCATACACCAAATGGTTTTTGCGTATAGCTACCATATTACTTCCGATATGACTGTTGACATCACTGCCGATATTACGGAGCAGTGCATTGGCAATATGCCAAGGGCAGTAACATGCCGTCAGTCACGTCAGTCATCGGCCTTGGCTATCTGTAAGAATCTTGGCAGGAATCTTGGCCTTTTCTTGGACCCATAGCCTCGGCCTTCGACCAATCATATCGCCGAATTCGCAGGCGGTGAGAGACAAATACGGCGTGCCAAAGACATATTGGGTGTCTCAAAATCACTGAGAACTCGATAGCTCAAAACTGAAGCCCTGCACTCTTTTAGATCTACCCCGTAACCCGTTGAGTGGCATTCTTGTGAAAATTATGTAAAGATATTTATCAGAATAAGGTAGAAGTGTAGGGGGTGGCAGGTGAGGTGCAGAAGGAGAAGAAGAAGAAGTTTTACCTATCCAGTAATTTTATCTTGATTTGTGGACTAGACGAAGACTAGATTTTGATGAAGAAATCGACAAACTTGAACTGCAGGCAAGGTGTTGGTTTGTAATGCCGATTGTCTTGAAACCCTTTCCTTTTAATCTTTCAATTAAAATCATCAACTCCTATCCAAACCACCAAAGAAACGACAGATCTCACTCAGTCCAATTTTTCGTTCAGAGGCCAGTATTACTTTACCCGATTTACCAACAAAAATAGCTGCCTGGAATTTTTCTCCTCATATATCCATTCCACGTAGGTACAACATACAGAGGGTAAACGCGATAGGCATGTAGGTAAGCAGGGAGGGCTTCACCATTTACACTCCATATGTGAATTAGCCTTTAGGCAAAATAATCCGGCAGGTGGCTATTTTCTGTTTGTAAAACTGGCCTCAGATGGAGTGCTATTAGGTATTTGATTTACCATCACACGATCAGGCATCAACTAAGTTTGTGGTTCTAGAATCTTGAAAAACTTTCTTGGGAGTGGCACTTGGTAGACATCCGTTTGAGATTCTGCTAGAGCAATAGCATCGCGCTCAAGCCAGCCAAATTTTAGACTGCCAACACAAGAAAAAAAATGTTTGGTTAATCAGATTTCAGGCTTCAAAATATTAGGTAAAGCATCAATAGGCATATAATTCAATTCTGGTGGTAAAAATCATGACCATATGTTGGCATGACATCAATTTTTAATTTGTTGTGGTACAACTTGCTGTTTATTGAGGCTTGAAGATGCTCAAATAGATGATATTTTTGATGCGTGTGTTGATTAAGACTGAAGTCCAATGAAAATAAAAAGCAGAAATTATCCTGACCTTACCTTCCCTACTAACCTTCAACCTCCAACCTATCAGCCTACAAACCACCGTTCAGGCTTCATCTACACGCAGGTTTAACATTTTATGATAAAGTAAAAAAAATCTCAGCTTGTAATCCAATGTCTTTCAAAACCAATTGGGCTTTTTGGCCTTGCGAATGGTAAACGGAGAGAGAGAGAGAGAGAGAGAGAGAGAGAGAGAGAGAGAGAGAGAGAGAGAGAGAGAGAGAGAGAGGAGAGAGAGAGAGAGAGAGAGCGAGAGAGCGAGAGAGCGCGAGAGAGCGCGAGAGAGCGCGAGAGAGCGCGAGAGAGCGCGAGAGAGCGCGCGAGAGAGAGAGAGAGAGAGAGAGAGAGAGAGAGAGAGAGAGGAGAGAGAGAGAGAGAGAGAGAGAGAGAGAGTTACCTAACTCTATCATGTAAAAACTGTTTTGAGAAAATAGCACTGTGTTTTATCCTGGCTTCATGACTCTCTAACGCTCCTTGAAACACCTGCTTGTTTTCTGACAATTGGTGATACAGAGAGGGTCTGCATTAATGTCCAAGTATGGTCATTTAGGATCAATTTTTGGTGCCCTCGTTTTATATTATTCCATCAGCCTTAGTTTGCCCAACTGACATGTGCTGAATTTGTCGCATGTGACGTTACACCTGACGTGCGCCGAAATTTTAGGTGGAACCCTGCCACTACGCCAAACATAAGTTATGGCATGATCACTGCTCAGTTGGGCAGGTTCACCAGAACAGCTTCATGGGTGCAAAATGACCACCGCAGCGCCCGTAAACCCTAATAAACAAACAAGCAAACATCAGTTGCGCAGTTAATGCCAATTTTTACAATTTTGATTGTCTATTGATATTGTTTGGTCTTTTCAGGACTCGTGGCGCTGCTCGCCTCTTCGCCAATGCGAATGCGTTCTCTGAGGACAACCCGCCCAAGGCTACCATGACGGAGCCACGCCACCGCGCCGGCTATAGACTCACGGCCTGAAGCGAGTTTGGGCGCGACGGCTGGCGAGCCAAGGCGGCGGAAAGTCGTCTGGCGGAGCTCCCGTCTGAGGCGAGCTTGATCTGGTCAGACAGCTCCGCCACCGATGGTGTGCTAGATGGAGGAGGAGGGGCCACCCCCCCCCCCCCCCTGAACCGCGACATCCGAGAGGTGCGTGTCGCAGCAGGCGCCCTCTGCTTTAGCACGCGCGGCGAGCTATTCGCCCTAAGAGCGGTGTTGGAGGAGCTGGCCGGACGGATGGTACCGGTCGATATGGGTCGACCGCCGTCTATCCCAACGGTAGCGCCGATCGACGTGGGCACTTTCTGCAAGGCAGGCGCGCGCGCGACAGGCGCGCCACGGCAGGCGCGCGCGCGACGCTGCGCGCGCCTGGCAGCGGAACTGGCCGGACGGATGGTACCGGTCGATATGGGTCGACCGCTGTCCTGGCTCCGTCCTGGAGGCCGACCGTGCAGTCGTTATCGACATCCGCCAGTACCTGCTCTGCATCGGCCGCCTCCCGAGGCCGGATGCCCACAATGCAACGACGTGGAGTGCCCTGCTGCCCGATGCCGCGTCTGCCGCGAAGAGGCTGGCACTCCACGGTATGTGCTGCTGCGATGCGCGGCGCTGGCGGTGTTGCGACAAAGAGCCTCGGCAGCTGAACTGCTTCA